AAAAAAAAAAAAAAAAAAAAAAAAAAAAAAAAAAAAAAAAAAAAAAAATCTGCCAGCAATATTATTGTATTCTAGAAGCAATAATGCAAAACAAAACAAGATGGCTTCATTGCAAAAAGTCATTTCTTATATACTCAAAACAAATGGTTCACCAGGGAAACAAAAGCATTGATGAAAATGCTTTTCAAACATAAATAAATGACCCACCAGTTATACTTGTCCTGAAAAGCACTAGGTTTACTGTTAACCTAGCAGCGAGGGTCACTTGATGGATAAAATGGCCCATTCCTTGCCATCCAACATGTAATCTTATTTTATGTCCTCTAAGGCAAAGAAACTAAGAGGAAGCCAAGAGTCCGTCACACCACCTGGTGATTACCGGAAAGATCGTTTTCCGGGCAACTCCAAAAGTATTTGGAGCCTGTCATGTATATGACACACACAGGCATGCATATCATTTTCAAAAGCATTACATAATGTTTTGGTTTCATTCATAGTACTGCAAGTTTTTGCTTCACCCAGCAAGGATAACGATGAGAGCCTATGACCGATGCTGTGAAGATGTTCTATCGGACCCATGCCATTGTCGGAAGCCGCTGGATCTTAGAGCAGAATCTGACCCACCGGCTGCCTGGTGAAAAGCACCCCACCCTGGCTCTCTGTCGACCTGGTTTGATGAAAATACAGACAAGTAGTGCTCTCTTTCCCACGCAAGTCGACTCGATAAAGGATTTTCAGCTTCTTGGAAGTTACGACCTGATGACCCTGATGGGAAAAAGTAGAAACTGCTAGGTTGATCTGATGATGAGGCCACAGGTCCTACTTGGGCTGACCCTCTATGATTGCTTGATCTTCGGTTGCTGGGAATGACGGGCGTCCTCATGGTTGGTGAATTACTAGGTTGTGTTTGTTGTTGATAATACGCCTGTAGAGCTTGAACTCTATCACGGGTCCGAGCATTGCTCCCTGGATAAGGAGGAATCATTGAAGAAGTAACTGAGCTCCCAGCTCTAGCACTAGAACTGCAGAAAGAATGTATAGTCAGCATTGACGATTGATTAAGAAAAGGAATTTGCAAAGAAGGAAACACCTTAGGGGGAAAAAAAGGAAATATCTCAAGAAATTGTTGCTCCAAACTCCAAAGACATGATTTTTGTTATTTCCTTCGTTATTGGTCATCAAACATGTTAAAGGAGCTCCATGCCTCCATCGACTATCAGAGAGTACGCACAGTATGCCATAATAAAATACAAACTTCAAATTGTTAGGAAGTACCTGTGACCAACAAGGAATGGATGCATAAGAGACCCTAATCTTGGCATATCAGAGCTGGCCCTAGATGGTCGCTGACTAACAGGCGGAATAGAAGGCTGATCTGCACCACCCATACGACTGCTAGTTGAAAATGGAGGTGAATGGTGCTCCCAACCATGATAATGAAGATCCATACCGGGAAAAGCATAAGAAGTTGGCAAATCACTAGTTACGGATGCGCCATTCCAGTGATTGTTAAAGTTAGAAGCATCTGAAACACTTCCGCTGGAATTTGAGGATGAGGGATGAACGGGCCCGATGTAGGCAATATATGGGCAAGGGTGTGTGGCTGAGGATACTGCTGTATGCTCAGCAAAAATTGCATGCTGTCCAAGTAGATCATGATCTGCATTGCAACACTACTCCGTTAAATGTCTTGGTCAAAATGAAATAGAATAGAAACTGGAGGGAGAGAGAGATCCATTAAATGTCTTAGTCAAAATGAAAAAGAGAATAGAAACCAGAGGGGGCGAGAAAATTACATACCCAGTTAAGCAAAAAAGTATAATTGAAAAAAAAAAAAAAAAGAAGAAGAAAAGAACTTACATGCAGAAGGTGAAAACTCCCCGTCCCTGCGAGTAAAAAAGAGAAATTTTTAACTTGAAGGATAAGAAGTCAGGCTCAGGAACAAGAACGAAAATATTTAATAATAACAAAAACAACAACAAGAAGGAAACAAGAAAACCTTACCCTTAATTCTAATTGTACAAGAATTAAAAGCACCAAACCTTTTTATGAACTAAGTCTATAACTTAAAGTACTGAATATAGCAGAGCAACTAACGGAATATCTCTCTCTTCATAAACAATGAGCACTAAATTAGTGACGAATAGGAACTAGATAAAATGCAAGTTAAGTCCCAACCAAATATCAAATTCAGATGAATTACAGATTACAACTATACATTTATCTGAATAAATCCTTCCGTGAGAAAAATAACATGTAACTTCTTAGACAAGTTTGGTTAGGGGGTGCAAGGGGTCACTCGAACATAGGGCCGGCAATATGGGTCACGACACGACGACACGACTCGAAAACGACACGAATTTTGCGGGTTAAGGTTGAGAAAAAAGAGATTCGGGTCACAATTGGGTCGACCTGAAATTGACACGAAAATCATTGGTCAATTTCAGGTTAGACCCGTCTTAACCCGAACATGACACGAAACTCATAAAAAACTAAAAAATACATATATTTTTCATTTCATATTTTAAATTTTATTATGAACTTGTGATATCATGATAGTTATACTCAAAATCTTATACTATTATTTGCTTAATTTCAATGGATGTTATTGTAATTTAGTGTGTTATAAATTTTAAGTTATTTTTAGTATGTAAAAAACTAAGTAAAAGTATACAATTTTCGTGTCAATTTCAGGTCGACCCAATTGTGACCCGAATCTCTTTTTTCTCAACCTTAACCCGCAAAATTCGTGTACGTGACACGTCAGGAAAGCGATAGGAAGAAAGTGGTCGTGTCGTGTTCGTGTTGCGGTTTTTTAAAAATTTTGTGTCATGGGCCGTGTTCGGGTTGACTGCAAATTTAGAAAGAAACGATCAAAACACGACACGAACACGACACGTGACACGAATTGCCACCCCTACTCGAACACCCCCATATCTAAATTGTTCTTCGTATTCTTTACGAGTTTATCAATTGGTATCAGAGCACTTTCCCGGGATGACGAAGAGAACCGACGACTGTGAAAAGGAGAGAACAGAGGGAAATAAGGAAGATTTGTTGAAGGAGATGGAATCTTTGTGCGAGGATGTGAGGACCACGATTAGAACAAGGGATGGAGTTGTTGTTGACAAGGATGGACGAGTTGCTGAAGCAGCGGAGTTCTGCAGATCGGGAGCCGCTGGAGGTGGAAAACGGGATTCCGGCAGAACAGTTGTGCCGACAACGGGAACAGGTGAGAGATCGGCAAAATGGCGAGAGGGAGGGGCTTGCGCAGAGTTTCGGACTCCAAGGGTAGAGATGCCGATTTTTTATGGTGAAAATCTTGATGGATGGATTTTTAGGGCAGAAAGATATTTCACCATGAATAGGCTGTCGGAGATGGAAAAATTAGATGTGGCAGTGGTGAGCCTTGAAGGAGAAGCCCTAGCTTGTTCCAGTGGGAAGATCGACGACGGGCGATCTGAGATTGGGCGGAGATGAAACGGATGGTATTAGAACGTTTCCGGTCGACGCAAGAAGGGACTCTTTGTGAGAAATTCTTATCGCTACACCATGAGACAACGGTGAGGGAGTACCGCCGCCAATTCAAGACTTTGGCCGCGCCATTAACGAAGATTTCTGAGCAAGTTTTGGAGAGCACATTCGTGAATGGGTTGAAGCCGAGGTGAGAGCTGAGATTTGCATGTTGAAACCCAGTGGATTGGGCCGCATTATGGAGCTCGCCCAACGGGTGGAAGAGCGTAACCAATTGGTTCGCGGGCCCAAGGCCCAAATGGCTCAAGTTAATTCATGGAATAAGGGAGGCCATAGTTCGTCTGGGCTTGGGTTAAGGGGTAGTCAAACATTTGGCGGTGGGCCAAAGCTATCAAACCCAACGATTTCCACTGGGTGTTCTTCTTTGGCGGTGGGCCAAAGGACACTACGAGCGGGTCGGCGCCGTTCAGAAGACTCACCGACACAGAGCTTCAAGCGAAGAGAGAGAAAGGATTGTGCTATCGTTGTGACGGGAAGTATTCCATTGGACACCGTTGCTCGAATTGATAATTACAGGTTCTCATCATCCGTGAAGAGGAGGATTGTGCGGGGGAGAAGGATGAAGGTGCAGAATCCGAGGCGGAGGAAGAAGTGGTCGAGCTATCACTCAACTCGGTGGTCGGATTTACATCGCCAAAGACCATGAAACTTGAGGGAATACTTCATGGAAATGAGGTAATAGTTTTGATTGATAGTGGAGCTACACAATTTCATTTCTGTTGAATTGGTGCGGAAATTGGAGTTGCCGGTGGACCGAACGTGTGATTATGGGGTGATTATGGGGACTGGAATGTCTGTTAAGGGCAAAGGAGTATGCAGGGGTGTTGTGGTCACTTTGCAGGAGATAGAGGTCGTGGAGGATTTCTTGCCTCGAATTAGGAAGTTCAGATATGATTTTGGGCATTCAGTGGCTGGAGACTCTTGGTGTAATGACGGTGAATTGGAAGAATTTGACCATGAAATTCATTGTGGAAAACCGTCAAGTGTCTTTGAAAGGGGACCCCGGATTAAATAGGTCTTCAGTGTCTTTAAAGGCCTTAGAGCGAGCGTTTAGTCAGGAGGGACAAGGGTTGTGGCTTGAATTGAACAACATGGGGTTGAGTACTCAGGAAAGCGATAGGAAGGTACCCGAGGAGTTGGTTGAGGTGCTTCACTGTAGAGCTTTGGTGTTTGAGATGCCTGCAGAATTGCCACCAGAACGTGCAAAGGACCAAGCGATAGTGCTAAAGGCGGGAACTTCCCCGATTAATGTACGACCTTATCAATATCCACAGGTCCAGAACGAAGAAATTGAGAAGTTGGTCGGCGAAATATTGGCAGCAGGAAATATTCAAGCAAGTGTGAGGCCATATTTCAGTCCCGCTAAGTGTGAGTCCATATTCCAGTCCCGTTCTTTTGGTTAAGAAAAAGGATGGAAGCTGGCGTTTTTGTGTGGACTATCGGGCTTTAAACAAGGAGACAGAGTACCGGACCGTTTCCCTATTCTGATTATTGATGAACTCCTCGATGAGCTTCACGGGGCTGCAATTTTTTCCAAGATTGATCTTAAATCGGGGATATCACCAGATTCGAGTCAACCCGGAGGACGTGCCCAAAACGGCTTTTCACACACATGAGGCACATTACGAGTTTTTGGTAATGCCATTTGGGCTTACAAATGCCCCAACAACTTTCCAGTCACTCATGAATGAGGTGTTGCGAGCTTTTCCTCCGTAAGTTTGTCTTAGTTTTCTTCGATGACATACTTGTTTATAGTCAGACCTTGGAGGAGCATGTTCGCCACTTAGATCAAGTGTTAGCGGTTTTACAACAGCACCATCTTTTCACGAATGCGAATAAGTGTAGTTTTGGACAGCAATCTTTGGAGTATTTGGGACACATTGTCCCGGGCAAAGGCGTGTCTGCGGATTCGGCCAAGATAGATGCAATGCTGAATTGGCCTACCCCGACCATCGTGTGTGACTTGCGGGGATTTTTGGGATTGACGGGGTACTACCAGAAGTTTGTCGCGGGGTACAGCCACATCGCAGGGCTTTTAACGAATTTACTTCGGAAGGATGGGTTCCAGTGGACTGCAGAAGCTGATTAGGCCTTTTCTTGTTTAAAACGCGCCATGACCTCCGTGCCGGTTTTGGCTCTTCCTGATTTCACAAAACCGTTTGTGCTTGAAATTGATGCTCTGGGGTTTAGTGTGGGTGTAGTGTTGATGCAGAACCAGCAACCCCTTGCGTACTTTAGCCAAGCTTTGTCTCCGCGAGCTCAAGGTAAATCAGTTTATGAGAGGGAATTGATGGCCATTGTTTTGGCAGTTCAAAAGTGGCGGCCATATATGCTTGGCCGACAAGTGTAGCCTTAAGTATTTGCTGGAACAACACCTTGTGAGTGTGGAGCACCAAAAGTGGCTCACTAAGTTGATGGGGTATGATTTTGAGATTCAATAAAAACCTGGGCAGGAAAATTGCGCCACGGATGCTCTTTCTCGTATTGTCTACTCTCCGGGGTTGAGTGCCCTGTTGGTCTCTTCCATTGTCAACACACAAGAGCTACAGCAACAGGTGTTGCAAGATGAGAAACTCGGCCAGATTATTTCAGCATTACAGCTCCAGTCCGAGGCCTATCCTAGATTCTCCCTAGTGCAGGGACGGTTGTTGTATAATGGTAGAATGGTAGAGCCTAGAGGTTCGCCTTTCATTCCTAAACTGCTTCACTCTTACCATGACAGGGTTCTAGGAGGCCATTCGGGTGTCCTTAAGACTGACCGACGCCTGGCAGCGGATTGGTTTTGGTCGGGCATGAAGAAGGATGTGACCTTGTATGTAGCCGCATGTGACGTTTGCCGGCATTGCAAAGCCTCCACATTAGCCCCTAGTGGCCTGTTACAGCCTTTGCCCATTCCCGAACGGGTGTGGGAGGATATTTCGATGGATTTTATTGAGGGGTTGCCCCGTTCAGAGGGATTCGACACTATTTTGGTGGTTGTCGATAGGCTTAGCAAGTATGGTCACTTCATTGCCTTGAAGCATCCTTTCTCGGCTGAAACGGTAGCTAAGTGTTTCATATGTGAGGTTGTTCGCCTCCATGGTGTTCCGCATACAATCGTGACCGACCGTGATCGTATATTCCTCAGTCATTTTTGGACGGAACTTCACAAACAGATGGGAACTACCCTCGGGCGCAACACCGCTTATCACCCACAATCTGATGGTCAAACATAAGTGGTTAATCGGTGTGTTGAAACCTATTTGTGTTGTTTCACATCGGGTAAACCAGGGCAATGGCACAAGTGGTTAGCTTGGTCTGAATATTGGTATAATACCTCGTTTCATACCGCAGCACGCACTACTCCTTTTCAGGTGGTCTACGGCCGTGCTCCACCTCCTTTGTTGCGCTATGGCCACGGAACGTCCGCGGTGGATTCGGCGGATCAGCAATTGCAGGACCGAGATGCCATGTTGGACTTACTTAAGTTTCACTTGCTTAGGGCTCAGCAGCGAATGAAATCGGTGGCTGATGGTAAACGCCAAGATGTGCAGTATGAGGTTGGCAACCTAGTACCTTAAGTTGCGTCCCTACCGTCAGGTGTCTTTAGCCCGACGCCGCAATGGGAAGTTAAGTCCACGTTTCTATGGCCCTTTTGCTATCATAGCGTACCGTCTTTGTCTGCCGGAGGAGGCTGCCATTCACCTGGTATTTCACGTTTCCCAGCTGTGCCACGCTGTTGGCCATGGCCAAGTTGTGTCTATGATCCCACCACAGTTGATAGGTGATTTGGAATTGTGCGTCACACCAGAGGCTTTAATGGGCATGCACCAACGCATAACAGGGGGACATTCTGACTCAAGGTTTTAATCCGTTGGGAACATCTTCCGGCACATGATGTGACTTGGGAGCCCTATGAGGCCATCGATCGCTAGTTTCCTCATTTCCACCTTGAGGACAAGGTGCGTCTTTGGGGCGGGGGTAATGATAAGCCTCCTTTGCGTTTTACCTATGTGTGGAGGAGAGTTCGTGAGAAGAATGCGGCAGGAGCAGGGGAAGGCAGTGGAGATGCAGATCAAGGAGGTATTTCTTAGAAGAGTAATGAGTTGGCAAGTCAAGGGGGATGATGTGATGGGGATAGCTAGTAGTTAGTTGGTTAGGCCGTGGTTGTTAAGTGGGAAATAGTTAGTAGGAAGAGGAATAGTATAAATAGTCTAGAAAAGCATGAGAAGGGATTCATTTGATCATTCTCAGAACTTCTTAGACAAGTTTGATTAGGGAGTGCAAGGGGTCACTCGAACACCCCCATATCCAAACCTGTGATTCTGTAATTCCGCCATTAATAACAGTGATCAAGCTTGTGACCTAGCTTGTTTGTGCATAAATCTTGCGTAGCCTTTCTCTAAACTGTTCTTTGTATTCTTTAGGAGTTTATCAATCATCCACATTTACTCAAAAGACCAAACAAACACATGCTCACATACCTATATGTATACATGCAAAAAGACATCTCATAACTAAAATAGACTAATACAGGGTCATAAAACTAATAAACGGAAGGCTAAAGGCCCCATAGCCTATGATATAAAAAGATACATTCATACACACACACATGATGAATTCAATTTTAATGTACATAGTACTTCTAATCATAAACATGACAGATTTAACATTAATGCTTCGCAAAAGACAACCAATATGCTACAGAACAACAAACTCTGACATTGGCTTATTAGAAACTCTGACATGGGCTAAGGTTATAAGTGTCAATCATATACGTGCTTTCTTTTAAACACTTGCAACCTAGACATTTCTAATAGTTGAGTCTTGACTGGCTCCCATGAGCATTTTAAAAGGCAATTTTCCATTTTGCGAAGCTCACAAGCAAAATTTGTTACATGTAGTATACTCAAACTTCTGACAACAATGTACAGAAATATGGGACAAAAACTTTATTAAGTGAAAAGTGAAAACATAGACAAAAATGGAAAATAAACTGATCACAAACTACCAGCATACACATTAACCCAGGTCTAAGCTCAAAAGTATGAGATCATGCTTACTCAAATGATGAAGGGAGTCGCGTTAAGCTGCCAAACGGACACCAATGAACACCAAAGGACTGCAAAAAGAAAATGAAACCAAACATTATTAGATCCAGATCAAATTCATGCGGCTTTCTATCTATCCATCTCTTTGCAAAACAACGTTCATGCACATACACATCCTAAAGTACCTAGATGATCAAACAAAATTGTGTCTGAAATATGTACCTGAAAATGCAGGTGACTATGGAAAAAAGAATAATCCAGAGGTCTCATGGATCTCACGTTTTTTGAGTTACCCAATGGAATGGTACAGATGAATCTTATTGAATGCCTTTGGTTTACATACTTTGATAGAAACTACATCACTCTTCACAGAAAAAGCCTTTTAAACCTAACTTCTAAATTGATTTTCTAAAAAATCCCTACAAATATTATGTTTAGAATGGGCTGGGCCTTCTAGAAGTTGCGCTGCCATATGAAAGCATAACTAATGAATGATATTATGTAATAATAAGTGGATATAGAACACAAAGCAAAATGTGGCACTAATGAATTGGATTCTACCAACAGGGAGAAAGTAGCAACGTGAGCATAAGACAAACCATGATATACGAATTTACTCATTGGCTTAAAAACACTGTCACCTGAAATAGAAATAACAAAAGCAAAAAGAAAAGAGACTTAAGAAGAAATTCAAATAAAAGTTCACTCTTTACCATTTCAGAGTAGCTTAAATCATATAGATCCTCATCATGAACCCAATCATCCATGCTAATTTCTGGAAATGAGCGAGAACCGTTAGCATAAAGCCATTGGCCTTTCTCAATCTTCCGGCAATTAGGGCATTGCATGGCACCCTTTACATTGAATGCCGAACCAATGCAATCTGAAAGGAAAAAAATCAAAACAAATAATCAAGGGGAGAGAAGTGCACAAGAGTGAACTTATAGTCTGATTAACAACAAATCACTTTCTGAAAAAAAAAAAAGAAAATATAAAGGAAATAGCAATATCGTGACGAAAAGATGCTCACAAATTCCAAAACCAATGTCATGAAAAATGTAGTTCAATTGAAATAAATGAATCTAAAATGAAATAAAATGTAACCAGGAGACTGCAGAAACATCATTCACATTTGCTCAAGACAGTAAACTTGTTTGCACAACAATAACTATAAGTGTACATAACGGAAATAATCAACTTGTAGATATTGTCTATAGTATACAAGAAATCACAATGCTGAAAGACTCCTCTTATCACAAATAAACCGCAGTTTGGGACTTACTAAACTTGAGGGAAAATTGTTGGACATGGATAAGAGTGAGAGGGTAGTTTCAGGCAGAAAGAGTATGAGGTCCTGAGTATGTAAAAGTTGCATATTCAGAATTCATAATATAAAAGTCTACGAATTTCTCTATCAGAAGAATAATCCCATTGAAAATCATGTTTTTATGTGATTTACTTAATGCATATAATTGAATAGTTCACAGAATTCTAACACTAAAGTCGTTTGTGATGCCATGTTAATCACAAATATTTCAATATAGCCAATCAAAATTCATCTAACAATTGCCAACTTATCCCAAAAATCCTCACCCCAAGCAAAAGTTCTCTCTAAATGCTCTATTCCAGGTTTTCAGAGAAAATACAAACATCCATACATCATCAAATCACCGAATCTAATATAAAATTAGCTAATAATTCACTGCGTCAAACAGTGACAAGCTAAAACATAATTCCAGAAAAATGATCTAATCAGCAAAAACATTTCGATAGCTAGACATGCATAAATAAACACAAATAAAATCAGCTATATTAGCGATGAAATAACAATTACAATGCACAATTCAATTTCCTAATCAACCAAACACCTCATCAAAAGGTTAAAAAGAAGGAAAAAAATCCAGATCTTAGAAATTCTAATCTAAACAAACAGATTACCATAAACAAATCCGAAGGCGATTATCACTTACCGAGATGGAATTCATGGCCGCATTGAAGCTTGGCCCAGGATCTATCCCCATTATCGGAGACGGCCTCGAGGCAAATCGAGCAGGAGACGGAGCCGCCGCCGCCGCCAAGGCAGGACTTTCCGCCACAACCGCCATCGGCGGATTCGATCACCACATCGTCATCGTTCCCCAATCCCATACCAGTTTCAGAGTCAGCAAACCCTAGTCACCGTCCCAGCGACGTTACGAAGTCTGAAATCTCACAAAGAAAAAAAGTTGTCCGGCGACAAGGAATGAAGATGCGGATGGTGAAACGACGTCGTCACGTCCGGGAATTGGGAAGTTACGGAATTTGATTGGATTTTTTTTTTTTTTTTTTTTTGGTTTCTTTGGTTTTCTTCAGCAAAGCGAAGACGATGCGTCAGAGATGGTATTTCTTTTCTGGGATGCGAAATTTTCTCATGGAGAAATATAAAATAAAAATTATAAAATCCTTTCCTGGTCTCTCTCTCTCTCTCTCTCTCTCTCTCTCTCTCTGTGCGTCTCTCTTTTATAATTCACACGGCTTTGTTTGCTTTTCTCAATTTTATGGCTGTTTCTCTCTCTATATCCGTGAGTCAGTGGGGGAATTCCCACCGTTGGATTGGACTTACAAGTTAGTAACTATGGGCAGCTATAACTGTTATGACAATGTGATGGACGGCTAGGATGGAGTTTCCTGCTTGTGCTTGTTTTTGTTAAAAAAAAAATCTAGGTGGATTTTTCTATGGTTTCGATATCAAAGATTTTTTTAATGGTTTTGTATCTTTTTCTTTAGTTACTGTAATTTTCTAGTGCAAAATCCTAAATTACACTAGTAGTAGGTTTTTTTTTTTTGAAAAAAAAAGGTATGTATGATTTCTTTTTCTTTATTTACTTTACTTTTGTGGTGGAAAATGGATAAATGCGATAGGAGTAACGATAATATTTAGGGTCTTTTAGACATATATAGTCAATTTCTAATTGTTATGTAAAAGTAAAGTAAAATAATATGTTTCTGCTCAAAAAAAAAAAATGTTTAGTAATGAAAATCTATGTATTAGTTTCCCCTGAAAAAAAAAAAGAAGAAACTACTTTCTTGGGTTAATCAAAAAGAGTGAGTGTGTTTGGTTCAAGAATTTATGTCATGATTTGAATCATAGTTCGTGGTTTATTACAGTATTTTTTCTCATAAAAAATACACATAAATCGATAATAATTATGAATTATGATTCTGAATCTATAAAAAAATGAGTTTTAATGTTTATTCTTAAAAAAAAGAGGTTTAATGATTTTTTTCTTTAAAAATTTTAAGATAAGATCTAAGCGTATATTTCGTAGACAATGTAATTTATTTTGTTGATAAATTAAAAAAATGGGAAAAGTACAATAGACAATTTAAAAAATGATCCCTTATTACAACGTATAAGAGTAGAGAATTTACGTTACGTTTGACTAAATTAATTAATAAAATTTCTAAAATGAGAAGGAGTGTCAAATATATTACATAGATAATATAACCCGAATGTAGACTCTTTGTTGTCATCATCAGATACAAGATTTTCCTTACCAAAAAAAATTTCTTAGCTTTTTTTATATAAAATAAACTTTTTCTTAGCTTTACAAGCAAGTTACTTATTATTATAAAACACAAACAAAAGGAAACTATTATTAGATATTTGCTTTTTACGCTTAAAATCCTAAATCGTAAAAGTAGTAATTACACTACAATACCTTTGGTTAAAATTTTATAAAATTTTTGAAATACTACTAAAATAGCAAATCATTTCAAAAAAATAAAAAAGATATATTAGTTATCATAATAGTGTCACATTTTAATTTTAATTTTAAACTATATAATGATAAAAACGTTATTTCAATGATAACAAATTTTGCTACTCTGGTAATATTTTAAATTTTTTTATATTTAAATTTTACTATTGAATTATGCTATACCTGTAAAGAGCCCTAGTATCCAAAGGAATTGTAATTAGTCATAACAATACGGAGCAAAAAATAAGAAGCCCATTCGTTATAAAATGAATGAAAAAGGAGCTCAACCAAAAATGAATATGGACAATGCAAAATTGCTATAAGAGTATTTTACATGACCTTATAAATAAATAAAGGGAAGATCATTAGCAAAAATAATAATAATAATAATAAATATAATAATAATGATAATAATAAAGGGAAGAGGAGGGAGGGAGGAAGGAGTGAATATAAGAACTTGCTGAAATAAAAAGATATGAGCAATCAAGAAAGTTTGGTGGTTGGTAGGTTGTTGGAAAATTCCAGGCTAAAAAAAAGAAAAAGTGATTGTTGGAAAAATTTTAACAAATATTGGTAATAAGAATATTATAAAAATCTATGTAGAGCCCGTTTGGTTTATGGATTAGAACTATGAGATTAAAATTATTTTCGATTTACGTGTGTTTTTTATGAGAGAAAATACTGTAGCGAACTATGAACCATGATCCGAATCAGAGAACGAATCTTCCAACCAAACGGGCTCAAATAAATGATCCTTACTTTCGTACGCCTTTAACCAATAAATTATCCAAAGAAAGAATTTACAAGATTAGTCTACCAAAACAAATAAATAATAATGAATTACAAATGGAAGACGAAAAACGTCAATATATAAACTAAGATTAGAAATAACTTGAAGTTTGATAAGGTTAGGTTTGAGTCTTGTAAACCACCCAACCAAACCACAGGCCAAGTCCGGCGATGTGTTGGATCACGTGCGTAACATAGCCCAACCAATGGGACAAGGCATAAAAACCCGGTCTTTAACTATTAAAATAATGTATCCCCTAATTTATTTATCACCCCTTTTTTAAGGAAAAAAAAAGGAGGAAAAATAGCATTTTCAGCTGTACTAAAGGAAACAATTTTACTATTATCGAGGGAGAAACCCAAAAAATTGTTTAATTCACGTAGGTTTTGTAGACTGAAATCTAAAGTAACTTTTGTTTTTAGAGTTAATAACCAATTTAATATCATTTTTAAGATGATTTATAAACTATTCGTTTGTCCTTAATTTGAGTTGAAATTTCAATTTGAGTTGTACTTTTAATTCAAATTAATATTTGGTAGCAAAACTTGAAACAAGATTTAAGTTAAAATTTAAATCCGAATTAGCCAAATAATGTAAAATCCGAATTTAACTCCCCCCTTGAATTTGAGTTAAAAACGTGATTCGAGTTAAATGTAGAGTCCATAGTGTCTTAAAGTCATCGTTATCTTCTTTGACTTTTATCTTCTTTATGGAAAATTTGCATCAAGTAGTTAGAACGATCCGATGCTCTGCAAACAATACAAGAAAAAAAAAAAAGCAAAAGATGAAATGGAAGAAATTGTTGTAGGAAGGTATGGGTATGAGGAAGTGCAAGAACGTGAATGGAGGACAAAAAAAATAGTAAAACACTTGCTAGGTAAGGAATTATTTTTTCTTTTATAGAGAAAGACAACTAAACTAGTTACCTGATTTCACTTACGATCATGTATTTAAGTTCAAAAAATACTTCTTTATTTTGGTTGAAATCAATTTTCCTTCTAAAATTATATCCACCAAATTATGTGCATTTCAATTCAAACACATATACGCTCTTTAATTCCCAAACTGAAAAGTTTAATGAATATTAGAAAATATTTATTGCAATCAATATAACTCCTGATGAAATATCAGCACCAGAGCTTATAATCGTAATGAGTCGACTTTTAAGAGTTGAACTGATCTCCTAACGGGATTCACCATAATTCTAGAAACCTTACGTAAGAAATAAATTCTTATCACCGCCCTTAAAAAAAAATCCTCATTTTAGTCATTAAATAATAGATTGATCCTTGAATCTTGTCTTCTCTGTTCTAATGGGTCGAGCTAATATCAGTTGATATGAACGAGGCAAAGATGAAATTCGACTCCAACAAATACCTAGACGGGCCTGTTTAGTTTGCTGATTCGAGTTGAGATGTGACTTTATGTGAAAACTTTTTACTGTAGCAAAAAAGTTAGATGTGACTGCTTGTGAGAGCTTTTTACTGTAGCAAAACTCGAATTCTAAACTCAAATCAGCGAAATGAACGGGCCTCAGTTTTAAGTTTATAAGTTTCAACTCTCTAACTTCCTTCCATACTTCATTTTAGGCTATTCCCCACCCCAATGAACAAAATAGTGTCAAAATGGGACATTTTGTCCAAACTGGCCCAATAATTATATAGCAAAACCAATGGATATTCATATTTATGATTGAGTAGTTTGTCACATTTCACTTTGTTTTTCTTTTTATAGAATTGTCAAATTTCACATTTGAGAAATGAGATAATGTAATCAGACTCGAGGGATATATATATATATATATATATTACAATAATATATGTTTCTAAGATGAACTGTGAATGGCTTGCCTTCTGGCAGTTCTGTATAGGCAAAGGAGAAACGATACAAAATTTTGTCTTTGTCGGCAACAAATTTATACATAGCTTGAGTAAGTGGGTTTAGTTGGTTGTTCTTTGGTGGAATATTTAGTTGGAGTACATCCCTGTCCTAGACTACGCTTGCACTACTGGAATAATAATAATAATAATAATAATAATAATAATAATAATAATGATAATAATAATAAAACATGTATGTTGAAACTTTCGATAAATTAAAAAGGCTTCGGTATCAATGTGGTGAGATCCAAAACTAAAGTAACCCTGATGCTATGTTTGGTAGGAAGGAAAGAAAATGGGATAGAAAGAAAATATGGAAGTGATGAAAAATAACAATGATGGAAAGGAAATTGATTTTTTTTTATATTGTTTGATATGAGAAGATGGAAAGAAAATGAGCTTACCTTCACTTGTTTGGTATGGTAAGTTAAATTGGGAGGAAAGAAAAAATCTTACTCATAAATTACTTTTATGCCCTTAAATTTTTTGCTTGGATGTTAATGGAGAAAATGATAGTTTAATAACTTTGCTCACTTTAATGAGTTGTCCTCATTTTTCATCCCATTTTCTGCCCACTTGTGGAAAGAAAAAAAAATAGTGGGGCCAACATATATTATTTTCTACTACATTTTCTCTTCCTTTCTCTTTTCTCTCCTACCAAACAACCTATATTTTCATTTTCCCTCCCAAAATTCCTCCACCTTCTTCCTTCCTTCTACTTTTCTTTCCTACCAAACATACTCTCAATGTTGCACAAACATGTATGCACATTTAGCCCCAACCCCCGAACCACAATGTTGGGAATCGAAAAGAGATGAGGCCAATTGATTTTTTCCAAGGAGCAATGCTATTAAGTTCCGTGGTTCATTAATAAAAGTCTCCGGCGTGAGACTCACGAGTAGAGTCCACTTTTAATTAGATGGCGATGTTAAGTATTAGTGATGTCTTTAAACATTTTTTTCTTTTAAGATATTGAGATCAAACAATCTATGTTGGGGATCAAGTTTCTAATGTTAACAATCAAGATGATGACGTGTATCAATGTTTTACAAAACTCTCCAAGAAATCATTTTCTTGTTTATGACACGGAGAATTCAAAATGTTC